GCCATCTAAATCTAGGCTTACCCTTGTAGACCCTCTTCACAAATGGTGGACCAGCAGTCTCCTTAGGTCCAAACCAGCTTCAAAACTTCAAAAACAACCCTGTAGAACCTCAGTTCCAGGAGAAAGGTGTAGTATTAGGTGTTTGTGTGTAATACTATGAACAAACACACCTAGAACACTCAAGAGAGAGAGATATAGAGATGGAATATATATATATAAGCCCTAACCTAAAAACTAGAGCTCTCTAACCATGTTTTTCTCTCTAACCTTAGAAGAGGGAGGAGAGCCCTCCTCTTATAGAAGCTCCCTCTTGCAAAGCTTACAAAACAAGCTTGCTGAGAGGGAAATCCCTCTATACACGTGTATGGAGGGGAGCAAAGGTGGGTGCCAGCTATCACAGCTGGCACAAAATATCTACTAAAAGTAGATGAACAGTGATCGGCCATCCAAAATTGCCACTTTGACAAAATAAATGGCCGACCGGCAACAAAGAATGCCGACCGGCAATATATATTGCCGATGGCATAAATCACTAGCCGGTGGCCTCGAGCCATGGCCGGTGATGTATGGGGATGCCTCACAAGGCATTCCCTGCCCCTTCAAGGAAAAACACAAGTGTTTGGTGCAAAACCTAACACAAAACAGTCGAGTCGAGAGATCCTGAGGCAAGGCGCGTAGCCGAGACCTCCGGGAACTCAAGATGAACACAAACATGGATGATCACCGAGTGTTCAAGGGGTGACGTCCAAGTCTTGAGGACGGTCAAAAATGGGGTGTCTATAGCACCCACTCTGTTCCCCTCCATACACGTGTATAGAGGGATTTCCCTCTTGGATGACTTGTTTTGGAAGCCTTATAAGAGGGAGTTGCCTATAAGAAGAGGTCTCCTCTCTTGGCATTAGGGTTAGAAAAAATTGTTAGAGGAGCTCTGGTTCTAGGTTTAGGGTTTTATATCTATCCTATATCTATATCTCTCATTCTCTTGTATTGTGTGTGTTTATGCCTTAGTTTTGTACACAAACACACACTACCACACCTTTCCTTGGAGCTGAGGCCCTTGAGGGTTGTTTTTAGAGTTTTGAAGTTGATTTCAACCTCAAGAAGCTACTGGAGCTCCATTGTTGAAGAAGGTCTACAAGGGTAATCACTTTTCCCTTTTATCCCCCCATTTTTACACACTACTTTTACCTATCTTGCAACTATTTTTTGGCTTTGCATATAATATGTAAAAGTTCTGTTTTTGAGGCCTCTAAATAGTTTGTTAAGGTTGCGTCAAGCTTTGGGGTTGTTTGACCCCTCTTAAGCCTTGTAAGGCTCCATTTTGTGCCATTTTGTGTGAGCTCCAGGACCATAGTGTTTGGGCCTCCTCACCACTGAAATCTTGAGGGATTTTATAGGTGAGGATGGTGCCTTGAGGTCCTAAGAAGGAGAGGGCCACCCCCTCTCCTTGTTGTCCTTGAAAAGGGCACTTTTTGCCTCTTGAGGGAGCACCTAGCTTAGGCTCATGTTGACCATGCCTTGGCTGTTTTTTTTATGCTTATTATGTCATAATATAGCATTGTTGTATGTTGGTTTTGGTACACCATGCTTTCTTAGCATACATGCCTTGTAATGTCATTTTGTTGCCTTAACATACATCTAGGTTTTAACCCTTGTTCAAGCATACTATAGGCCTAGCTTTGTGAAGCTTTCATGTTTATTTTTCCATGTTTATGGTCTGTCCTTGGCTGTTTTGGTCAACCATAGCTTGCATTGCATGCCCCCTTTGCATTTTGGGCTTGTTGGCCTTAAGTATATAAGTGTGTAGCATGCCTTGTTGTATCATTTCAATGGTTTGGAACCTCTTAACATGTTATCTCAGTCCTTATGACATGCTTATATGCTTGCATTTAATCCTCCTTCAATGTGTTTAAAGGTTGTTACCTTATGCCCCTTTGTTTAGGCCTCAGAGTATGCTTGCACTTTTAGACCACTTAGATGCCATCTAAGTGCACCCTTGGCTTTGTTTAAGTCTGCATTTGACTTGTTTTAAGTCCCCTTAGCCTTGTGAGGTTTGGTGGACTTGACCTTGGTTTAAGCCTCCTTGGCTTGTCTTAAGGACTTGGGCCATTGTGGCATGTTTTGCTTGCTTTGTTTAGTTGCACTACTACAAAAACAGATAAAGATCACACTTTTTTTGTGTGATGTTTGTTATTTAATCACACCTTTTAAGTTTTATTAAAGTGTGATCTTTGGGAGTGTGATTAAAAGGGGTCATTTTTAATCACACCTTTTAAGTGTGATTAATAACATTTAGATCACATCTTTTAAGTGTGATTAAAAACTAATAAAACCTGTGATAATAAACTTTAGATCACACCTTTTAAATGTGATTAATAACATTTAGATCACACTTTTTATGTGTGATTAAAAATATTTAGATCACATCTTTTAAGTGTGATTAAAAACAAATAAAACCTGTGATAATAAACTTTAGATCACATCTTTTAAGTGTGATTAATAACATTTAGATCACATCTTTTAAGTGTGATTAAAAACTAATAAAACCTGTGATAATAAAATTTAAATCACATCTTTCAAGTGTGATTAATAACATTTAGATTATATCTTTTAAGTGTGATTAATTACTAAAAAGATTCGACATATTTGAAGAATAATCAATATTATTTTTGTACGCGCATTTCAAGAATGTAATACACACTATATACTATACTTTGAATCATAATCACATATTCAATGGAAAGGAATTTAGACTGTGCTTACATATATTAAATGAAAATTAAATATGTTCAAAAGTATATACAAAGGAATTAAATAAAAATTTTTATACTCTGCTTACATATATTAAAAAATAAAAATAAAAAACTTGAAAAACTAAGTCCTTGAATTATTTGACCATATTTTGCATCTCTCCAAAAAATTTCTAACCTGAAAAATAAATACACAAATTAATTCAGACACCACTAGAAGTATATGAATAAACTAACTATTTGCAGAGATTGTTCTAGTCTTACAAAAGATAAAGTCCGACCAATCACACCCCTTCAAATGTCTTAACATTAAATACCTCTGCCATGACATGAAACATGTAAAAACAAAATGTCACTTTACCCATAGAAGTTGCAAGTTCAATAGAAATTTTACTATAACCAACAACTTAATTTAAGAGGCTATATCTATCTCAAATATTTAATGTTCTACAAAAGAAATGCAATTCAATGTTGATTGTGCAAATACTTTGACTGCATTTCAGATATCTGTGGTGTGTTGAATGTCCATGTCCCATACAAAACACTTAACAATTAGGCAACCCTAGCCTACAGCCCTTCATAAATATGCCAAAATTTTGAAAATGCATTCCTTCACTAAAATTTATCATTCAATGAACATAAGTTACCTGCACTGGTAAGAAGAATAAAAAGCAGTACAAGGTTCAGGTTTTCTTCCTAGAATAGCACTAAATTCCCTTGTTACAAACAAATATCACCATTAGCCAATCAAATCGACAAATCGAAAACTGAGAACACAGACCAAATAAGGGTATAGTTTCAAAATTCAAACAAGTTATTTTGATAAACGAAAGTCATCAATGAGTCTCTTTTTAGGCTTTAGAACAAACAATTAGAGTGCCATAAATTTTCAAACTTTCTTCTACACCCAAGAAAATGGGAAAAAAAATATAAAAATAAAAATCATTAAACAACACACAATAAAATCATCAAAACTAAAGAGCTTGAACTGCTATTCTATAAGAAAGTTACAATTTTCATGCATTTGAATCACATTTTGTGCAGATTAAGCATTCATGAGCAATAAAGATTCTATAAAAATGAAGAAATTACAGAGATGAAGCATCTCTATTGACAGATCAAAGAAGCTCCATGAAATTTTTATATATTCAACAATCGCAACATTTAGTTCAAAAACAAAAACAAAAAGAAATGAAAAAAATAAAAATAAAACATTTGAAAGCAAACAATCAAACATATGCAACTTGTATAGCTAATATCTCGAAGTTAAAAAGGAAAAGTGAAACTGGGCACTTTCAATATATATATATATAGTGATGAAGAAGAAGATTGGAGGTTGTGTGGTGAGACTAAGGTCGAACAGAACACTACAGTCATCAAGTGCTTTAATAATTTTAACAGAAAACTGAACAACCCAAACACATAATTAAAACTGCCAATAGTTCAACCCAGAAAAGCAAAGTAACATCATCTCTACTTGTTGTCCTCAAGAAAGAGCTCTTGAACTACCCGAAAAGCTTCCTAGTATGAAACACTAACACCAACAATCTCCCAATCTCAATTATCAAATCATATCAATTCAACCAGACATGCTGCCAAGAGTGAAAGTATGTTCCATTTCGTAAAAAAAAGGATGACCTATAATTGTCAATTAAATCTATCACATTCTATCTTCTAACTGAGCAATCTATGCCCACCCCTACCGTAACATTGCTGAGTAATATATGTATCTCATGCTCATTCTTTGTATATGTGCTACAGTGATCAAAGCTCAATCTATATTCAATTTGACATGAATTCCGAAAGTTCTGGGATAGACCTACCATTTCATTCATGTATGCTTTTACACTGCTTATATACAGGTACGTATGCTTTTACACTGTTTGTATACACATACGTAGATACCACATATCTGGAAAATTGCTTTGTGGAATGGTAAATGCTTGGACTGTAGATTATAATCTGAGGGCAGCCACTTCATGCAAACAATGCCAAAGGTTGGGTTTGTAGCAGCCACTAATCAACCAACCAACAAAAACATCCAAGGGTCTATTTTTTTATTTCATATTAGAGTTTGATGTTGATATTAAAATTTGTAATGGTGACTTACTTGAAACATGAAAATGACATTAAAAAAGAGAAAAATATTGATTTTTCTATTCCATGAAATATATATATAAGTGAAATACTTACCCCAATTAAAAGGTTGCATTTCATGACTTCCAAAAGAGGATCTCTGATGTGTTTGTGAAGAAGCCTGGTGAATGCCACTAGATCCATCTGTCACCTCATTTATACAATAAAATTCACATGAGTATGATAAATTTAGAAAAGGATAACATATGATAAATTAATACATCATTTAGATACAAGTATTTGTTTTTTCATGTTATGAACATTCTTAGAATTATCAATACAATAATATAAACATAATTTGTGCATTTCTTTGCCTAATTCTCATATACGTATATGTATATATATGTATAGATGTAATTAATCAAAAACTAACCTATTAATCAAATTAAATGAGCATTTTTTTTTAAATCAACAAAAGAAAAGGATCTTTATTGATGAACAGGCTTACCTGGCATATGGAGTCCCAAGAAGTGACTTCAAGCTCTTTTCTTTGATGCAAAAGGTTTGATTTCTGGCATTAAATGCTCCCTTTACTTTGATGCAAAAGCTCATTTTCCTAAAAGTGTGTCAAATCTTGACAGAATATGGTGTAAAACCTATAGATAAAAATTCTGGTTAGGTTATGCAAATTCTGAAATTGGGAATGAAAGTAAACCTATCATTCCATATTTCTGTTCATTTTCAGAACCTAAAAAGGTCCAAAAGTATTTTTACTGACCCAATTCTTTGGCTCCTACTAATCTAAAATCTGCTAAAAATGTGTTACTAATCTAAAATCTGCTGAATGAATTAATTAAAACTAGATAGTCCCTTCACTGAAATATTTCTCTGCTTTACTCAGTCATTCTTGTGTTCAATAATTGAATATTGATTTAATACATTAATTTATATACTAGACTAAAAGGAAGTAATAACAGTAATCCCACAAGCTAGTGGTGTTTGAGGTATAAGATAGATATCAACAATCTACTACAACTCCCAAAAGAATCAAAATCAATGTTCACTTTAATGTGTTAGATATGAATTTTTCAACCAAAATCATCTACATGTCATACACGTTTACTTTCCCACGCAGGGCCAATATTCACCTTCTTCTAGTTTTCATTTTGTACATTTTATAAATTAGATATGAACTTTTCAACCAAAAAATATTTTCTCCATATCTAACATAGTGCTTCCAAATCAGTGTTAGAAGTGTAGAAATTGTAGCAAGATCCCATGGTCCATCAACCCTTTTTCTATTTCTTCATTGAGCACCCATTCATCATACTCTTCCCCATTAAAGTTCCAAGTAAATTTGTTCACAATCTATCTCGCACGCAAATTGAAGTTGCAAAAAATACTAGCAAAGAGACAAAAAAAATTGAAACAAAGATTAAAATGGTGGAACCACATTTTATAGTTTTGCAATTCTTATCAGAAAATCAGTTTCTCCTATGTGACAATACATCAAATTAAAAACTATAAAACTCCACATGGCTAAATGAAAGAAGAGTGAGGGAGGGAAAAGGTGGTGTATGCACCTTTACAAGCAATGACTTTCTTCTTGAGCTGGAACTCACTATAACTCCCATCGATTTCCTATCACGGTCAAACTCAAGAGTGGCAATCCGTCTTTCAATCTTACTCCACGTCCGACAACAACCTTCAATTACATAAAATTAAATGGTACACATTAGCAGCCACGTAAACACGTTTAGTAAACAACAAAAACATAAGTTATAATTGTAACTTACGTAGAACATCACCATAACCTTTAGATGTACCAGAATCCAATCCATCAGGAAGTCCCATTTTCTCAACCATAACCTAAAAAAACATAAACACTCATGATGAGAAAATTGCTTCAGCTCAATATTTATTGCTTTGCAGCAACTTCAAAGGATTGGAGCTTCATGAGGAGCTTCAATAGGATAAAAATGGAAGTAACCACTTGAAAGGATTGGAGCTTCATGAGGAGCTTCAATAGGATAAAAATGGAAGTAACCACTTGAAAGGATTGGAGCTTCATGAGGAGCTTCAATAGGATAAAAATGGAAGTAACCACTTGAAAGGATTGGAGCTTCATGAGGAGCTTCAATAGGATAAAAATGGAAGTAACCACTTGAAAGGATTGGAGCTTCATGAGGAGCTTCAATAGGATAAAAATGGAAGTAACCACTTGAAAGGATTGGAGCTTCATGAGGAGCTTCAATAGGATAAAAATGGAAGTAACCACTTGAAAGGATTGGAGCTTCATGAGGAGCTTCAATAGGATAAAAATGGAAGTAACCACTTGAAAGGATTGGAGCTTCATGAGGAGCTTCAATAGGATAAAAATGGAAGTAACCACTTGAAAGGATTGGAGCTTCATGAGGAGCTTCAATAGGATAAAAATGGAAGTAACCACTTGAAAGGATTGGAGCTTCATGAGGAGCTTCAATAGGATAAAAATGGAAGTAACCACTTGAAAGGATTGGAGCTTCATGAGGAGCTTCAATAGGATAAAAATGGAAGTAACCACTTGAAAGGATTGGAGCTTCATGAGGAGCTTCAATAGGATAAAAATGGAAGTAACCACTTGAAAGGATTGGAGCTTCATGAGGAGCTTCAATAGGATAAAAATGGAAGTAACCACTTGAAAGGATTGGAGCTTCATGAGGAGCTTCAATAGGATAAAAATGGAAGTAACCACTTGAAAGGATTGGAGCTTCATGAGGAGCTTCAATAGGATAAAAATGGAAGTAACCACTTGAAAGGATTGGAGCTTCATGAGGAGCTTCAGTGTGGGGTATATGCTAATCATATCAATGATTCGAATATGACCTCAGCAAACTCTGCTTCTACCAATTGCAACTTCTCGATGTTAAATTCTTCTTCTGCGGAGATCTCTGTCAAGCGAGGGACTTGAAGCGAGTTGGGCGTGAAGGTGGTGGA